AACTGTGGTTATAATTATATATGAAATATTAATTTAATTTATCATCAGTCACGTTCGTTAACATTTTCGAAATTTATAATCTTTAATTTTTCGTCGTAGTTTCTTATATAATTTTCATTCGCGATACCTTTTTCCAAGGGTGAATTCAATCTGTAAAATTTAACAGAATCTGATAACATCTTGTCAGGAATTTATAAATAAGCCAGTAATGCCATTGGAGATGAAATACAGCAACAGAGATAAAAAATAGGTCAAATGCTTCATAACTACTCGACGCGAAAATCCAAAGCTCACAGACACGACACATCGCGCTACTATGGTAATCAACTTAGGATCAGAATTTAGTTAAAAGTTTGTAGCTTTCTCTCTCTCTCTCTCTCTCTCTCTCTCTCTCCTCTCTCTCTTTGCTGCCTAAGATTCTCGCGCCAAGTAAAACAGACTTGCCGAGATAATCCATAAGCATTGGAGGAGCATGTTGTTCCAATTTTCGCGCGAAAACGCTTCGGAAATTCGCGAGTTTCCACGCGTCGTTTCGCATTAGCGTGCATCTCGCTGCATGTAAATCCATGCAGGCTTTTGTGCGACATGGAGCGCCTAAGCGACGAGACTTTGAATGTTGAACTTTGTGTTGATCGAAATTAAATTTTTTGACAAACTTTCTTTCAACTGAAGTAAACAACGTGAAAAAGAAATATCCCTTCGCGAGCGCAATGTAGGACTCGTAGGAAACAGTACCAGCATAATTTACATTTGAATTTGCATCCGCGCAAAATTTCGAGGTGACTACAGGATTAACGAGGGCAATTTTTGATAAAAAACGCAGAGCAGTTTTCACAAAAGAATATCTCGGTCTAGTAGCTCTCCCAAAGGAATTTGAGTGGCCATTATACGCGGATAATAAGGTGCTTGTGGGATGATGTCGAAGGATTTTCATACTGAAAAGACAATGGCTTTGAGTTGAAATAAGAAAAGCGCCATGAACGCGTATAAGGAAGGTGAAACTTGATTGAGATGGCCGCGCGCAACTTGTTATTCCGCGAGAAATTGGCGCGCTATTGAGCGGCTTCCGAAGCTTGCCCCCTCTCGCGAATCGGCCTCGCTATCGATCGATCATTTCTCGCGGCTCGGCGCTTTTGTTGAGATCGCGCGCACGCCCGCGGACGGAAGAGCCCGACGCACGTCGCAGCGTCGTCGAGCGAATCGGGGGAACAATGTCGCCCGTCCCGTCGGCGCAAATATCGGCCGCGGCAAGGAGCGCGAGCGATCGATCATACGTACGCGCGGCCGCAATAACAGAAACCGTCTGGCCGGAATATCCAGCGGGGCGTGGAGAGGAAAAAAAAAACAAGCGGAAAGCCCGGTGCGGGCCAATCGATGCGAGCGCGCTTCTGGCTCTGGGCCAGCAGCGTGCCAGGCCCGACCGTAACGAGCGACAAGGCAAGCCTCCGACTCTTTAATGAGCTTCGCCGCCACACTCCTCGCAATTACGCTCGTTAAGGATTTTCTTCGAAGAACGCCGGCGAAGCGTTTATCATGTGCGCTGCTCTTATTAGCGCGCGGGAGATTCCTTTGTAATTGCCGACTCGCGTGGCGATGACTTTCGAGCGGCCCGCGTTTTCCTTATTTATTAATTCATTGGCTCGCGCTTTTCGTTGTCGTTCGTACGCACACTGACCATAACACGCAATTGATCTTTACTCCATTTTTCACGCGCGTCGCTCGCCCGAGAGACTGCGGTTCGTCGTTAATCAACCTCTCTTGACACTGTAATTTACGCTGGCCGTCTAATCCATCCCGAAGACGCCGGACCGCAATCTATTTCAAGAGTGGCCCGAGCGAAATGTTTTTACAGCGCGCCTAATCGTGCTTTTTGAGCAGCCTTTAATGGCGTAACAACACGCGCAAATTCGCGGAGGTTTGCTTCTGGCCGTGCACGGCCCGGAAAACGCAACGTCAGCTTCGCTGTAGCCTCGTTGCGGACGTTTCTTATCACGGCTCGCGTGCGAGAAGCCACCGCGTAACACTCTTCCGGATTCCTCCGAAATTCACTCGTTTCTTTTTCTCGAACTTCCGCGCGTTACCTTTCTATTAGCGGTCATGCGACCTTTCTATTAGCGAAATGGAGAGTCGATGTTCTCGTCCATCACCCGAAATAAGCTTTCAGCGCGACTCTCGTGTACTTTTCAAAAAGTTACATTGTCGATAACTCATAATCTAGTCAACGTCATCCGTTTGAGTGTTGTTGCTTAGTGGAGATTTGGTCTCAGGTATTTCTAGTGTACGTACGATACTCGTAACGCGCCAGTCAATGCTATCAATCGTATTGTCACGACGAGTCTGACCACGTGACGCCAACACGTGCCTGATTGTAAGATGAAGCTGATCAGCCGTTATTTTCGTACGTGTACGTAAGGGATTATTGTAGGGGCTTCGCCGTAGTGATGAATTTCAAATGTTTCGATCTTTCATGTGAATTTTGTCGCTGTCAGCAATTTCGGTTGTAACTAAGAAGCACCGAACATTTTGCTAGTGGCGGACCTAGCGCATCTTACCAAGTTTCAAGTTGGCGCTTCTCAGTCTTAATGGAAATTACAATTTGTGTACACTGAAAATTTTATTTCACCTGCATGCCAATTTTACCTTTGTTCAAAGGATGTGCGTTAGACGGTGATTTATCATACGACAAACCGTTTTACTTCGTTCAAGCTATTAAAAGCACTCGTTGTATTTTTAGTAAATTATCTTATCTACGCAACGTTAAAAAAATAGCTGTTCATAAAGCAAGACAGAGGAAAGCGGCATACTGTTTCGCGGTATAAATTTTCCAGTTTAATGTTCTTTACTTTGCTTTGTGTAAGATATTACACTTTACACAGATCTTATGAAAATTTATCACCTTTTCACTTGAACAGATAAGCTGCGTGCAGTCAGACTATGATAAATCTGTGGTTAGTACGTATATATTTACGAAAAAAGAGGTGTACACACGAGTATTACGTAGAGAAAGTACTATCTACCCCTGAAGAGCGCTAATAGTAAGGATAATACAATTTTCTTCAGAGGTAGTAGTCTACACTTTAATCGTTCCACAAAACTTATTCTGAAATTGAGCAAAATAGAAGAGATACCCTCGTGTAGCCACATTATCCGTTGCTCGCGTACTTGGCATATCACGGTTGCACTTATTTTCGCTGCCGTCTTTTACATTCTCAACTTGAACTGGACTTGAAACGCGAACTAGCCGAGCTTTTAATTAGCAGCGATAGAATGTTGAATAAGTTGCGGTTAAGCGGCGCATTCGTTTCGCTCTCTGCCGTCATTCCGTCGAGCTGCACATTTGAAAATTGTCATCTTGAAGATGTCCACGGTCAATTTGCATTGATGACGGCCCGGTCGCGCGGACTGTCAGCCTCGGAAAGGAAGGAAGAGATCATTCCGTCGGGGGATTAGCCTGGTGCCCCCCCCCCCTCCCTCCGCCCCCATTAATTAAATTCGCGAAATCGGCGCCCATCTGTCCCCGTCCGATCTCAACAACGGGCCGCTGCGTCCGAAACTGTTCCGATGAGTTTCGCCGGCGCGCGCGTTCTCTGCTGCGACTCCGCGACGTCTAGGCGAAAATTCGATCGCGGCGCGCGCAGCCCTAATGCACATCGACAACTCTGTAAGCGCACACTCAGTTGGAATTGCTAGAGTGCCCGGGTACTGACAATTAAGGCCGCGCGGGATCGCGAAAGACCACGAGGGAAATTGTGCTCGCTTCCCCCATCAGGCCGACTCGCATACATGCGCCGCGCTGGGTGTAGCGAGCGCGGGCGCTTGCGCGAGTCGACGCGAGAAAGGAAAATAGTTTTGAAAAATCCTAATGGACGGTTCGTAAATACGGGCGTTCGCCGCGTTTGCTTTGCATTAAAAGTCTGCGGAAGGATGCTTCCCGAAGGCAAATACGATTGTTGCGCGCGCGTGCGCGCGAGAGATGTATGTTTGATAATGTCGTTTGCCGAGAAAGGAACGTGCCAGCGTAATGCCAGTATGTTTCGCTACACATGCGCACGCTCGCGTGTGTGCGTGTATGTTTGCCTTCCGAGCGGAATGGGGTATTCGAATTTATATGTAAGGAAAGTAGGTTAATACTCGACGGAAACATCAGGTTGCACGAAGCAAGAGCGAAGCTCGCTGCCAAGTTGTTGGAAGGAAAATCGTCGGAAAAGCCATGGAGCGAGGGCCAAAAAGAATCGGGTAAGAGGAATAAACGAGGCTCGCGGAGGTAAAGACATCGACGTGGAACCAATCGGGCAGCCGCGATGGCAGAAAATGCTGCGCTCGCTCGAGGCAGGTGCGAGGTCTGCGAGAAAGTTGAAATGCAATCGGAGATCTTTCATTATGTGCGCCGCCTCGGCAGCGCCAGGTCAGTGGGTCGAGCTCTCGCGAGTTTCTTTGCCTCGTGCCTGCGGCGCGCAGTTGCTCAGCGGCGAAGGCAAGCAAGTCGCGGGAAATGTAATTAATTGAAATATAGCTTCGGCGCAAGTTTGGCTCCGACTTTCTGGGATTATCTCGTCGGGAAGGTAGCTAATTTTGCGGAAACCGCGGCAACCGACTAAAATACTTGGCGGAGAGAGACGGAGAGCTCTTCGACGAGTTCGTTAACACGCTGCTACCCTAGAAGCCCGAATTATTCCGATGGAATAACTTTCCAGCTGAAATAACTCGAACGATACGTCGGCTGCTGACTTTCCCTTTCTTGCGTTCCATTTTGTCCGTAAATTAGGAGCTCGCTCGGGCTCTCACTCGGCATTCTTTTTCCTTCTCGAGCGTGGTCTCGGATATTTGTTTGCCTAGCCCCGGCCCCTTCTCATTTTCATTGTGCTCGGCGAACGAGCGACGAGGAAGGCACGCAACACAAAAGGACCGGAGGAGAGGTCGCCCACGCCAACGCACACGTCTGCCTAATGACCCCTTAGCGACAGACGCGCGACGACGAAAAATAGCTGAAAGGCTCTGACCTCTGAGTTATCCGGTGGGTTCAGCAGCGTCGCGGCCAACAGCAGCAACATCGAGCACGGACGCCACGCCGCAATACTGATCCTCCTCTCGTTGCGCTCTCCTCGGCCGAGTTCCCACTTGTTCGTGCGCTGCAAGAACAAGAATGGTCAACAAGCGGCCGCTTAGCGTGCCCCCACGAATGACCCTCGCGCTGCAAGTCTCTCGCCGGCGACGGCGTCCATTCGGCTCACTCGTGCGGGCGGCGGAACACCGAAAGCACGCGTGACTCGTGAGAAAGCTCGTGTGAGGCACGGGAGAGCTTGCAGCGAGAAGAGGCAGCGGGGCTCGGGGAGGCGGAGGGGAGGCCGAGGAAGGGCGATCGCAGCGGCAGTGCAGCGTCGTCGAGAGCGCGCACCTTGTCGGGCACGTGAGCACGAGGGCTCGTGTGGCGTACTGAACTCGGCTGAACCGCGCGCGCCGGCAGCGGCGCGTCGCCCGCCTCCGCGCGCTGCCACTCTCTGCTCGCGCTTCGCTTGACGGCTGGTGGGGGTGCGTCCGCGCGCGCCGTTTAGATTGATGCTCGCGGGGGTGGGGAGGCGCCGGACTCGCCGGACTCGCCGCGTTTTTCTCTTTTTCCCCATCGACTCGGAATCGCGATCTTTCCGAATGATTTCGGCGACCGATGCTTGCTCCGAGCAACGCCGCCGGTGCGCGCGTGCGTACCTTTGCGCGCTCCGCGCTGGACGCCCCCGAGAGATTGCTTTCGCGAGCTTCCGGCCGATCGCGTGCGCCGCCACTCTCGGTTAACCCCACGTGTCGGCACTTTCCGGCTTTCGTATCAGCCACTTTTTCACCCACACTCTGCTTACATCGACTCGTATGAAATTGCCCTCCCATCAAGCGTATGAATTTACCATTGTGTCACCCTCTCCCGCTCCGTCAAACTCGACGTCTATTTGCTTCGGGTGTATTTTTGAAACTCGACGTACAAGCTTGTCTTCCGTCGATATAATCTTCATTTTCATCACTTGAATAACGCCCTTCGCTGGGCTTTTCTTTTTCCTTTATTTCTTTTTTCTTTTTTCTTTTTTCTTTTATCTTTTTTCTTTTTTCTTTTTTCTTTTTTCTTTTTTCTTTTTTCTTTTTTCTTTTTTCTTTTTTCTTTTTTCGGTGCCAATTTATCGCGAGCTTGACAAATTCCTGCACGAGTATTGCATTTTTCCAGTAGATCTGAATGTCTACATGAATAAGCGCATTACCGAACAAATGCTTGAAATCGTGCAAGCTACACTTCCTTTCCCACTTTTATTCCCATTTTTATGCAGTCTATTGCATTTTCAAAATTTCCAAGGACTTGCTGCATTTTCAAAGTCACTTTAACTATTTACTCTTCCGCGAGTGATGCCCCGACGATTGTATTTTTCAGCTTTTATAATCCAATGGCTGCAAGTCAACTTCTATTTTTATGAATCGATCTTTCAAACCACTGTTTATTCATATTTATGAAAAAGGAAACGTTGTCACCTGGAATGGAAAAAATCGTCGGTCGAACATTCACGACAATATAAAGCTATATGTTTCCGACGCAATACGACGCTCAAATATATTTACGTTTTCCTCTGTGACTTTATTGGGCAGCAGAATGTACGGAAGCGTAATCTCGGATAATCCTTTCGCCAAGTACTCGATGTGTACGACAGCTATTACGTTTTTAACGAATAAACTTTTTGTCGGCACGCGCGTGCGTAACTAGAATAGCGGAAAGTTCGGCGGAATGTAATCGTGATCGCGCCGCGATCATTGAGTGAAAATTAAGAAAAGCCACGCGGCGAAAAAGTGAGAGAGAAGCTCGCGAGAGGCAGACCGCTGAGACTGGAGGTGCGACCGTAAGCAGCGGGCGAAAGTTAGCGACATAACGAGGCTCGGTACAGCGAGCGCCTAACTTGAAAGTGCATCGCTGAGAAAGCGAGAGAGCAGACAAGGCTTCGATCCGCCGTTATTCCTCGCTCCTGACGCGCATCGATTTTATCGACCGAGCTGTCGCTTGCTCATTAGGCTATTAGCGGGTTCGATTTCGGCGAGTCCGCGACCCGCGCGCTGCTTATTATCTCCTCTCTCCGGACGCGGACGAGGAGTTCTTCTTTTCCCGGCTAGCTGCCGCCGTCGATCCGTCGACTCATTGGAAGCTGACGCACGCGATCCAGGGTCAGGCGGAAAGATAAAAACGCGAGTTGGCACGGGCTTCCGTTCCACGCTGGCGACGAGCGATCGAGCTCGCGTCGGCCAGAGTTCGCATCGCTGCGTTGATTTGTTAGCGATACAGCATGTCGGAATGGGGCTACTCGACCGACTTTCACTTCTTTGTAGGCTGGCTTTGAGCGAATGGGCCGCTTGGGAGCTAATCAACGCCTTAGCCACTATACAAGCAGCTACTTGGTTGCCACTGTCTCGGACAACGTAAACAGACTGCGGCCGATTGGAGTACACCGAGCCGAGAGCAGAGTCGCTGTTAGGTGTCAAGAAACTGCTGCTGCTGCTTTGCTGTTGCTCTTGCTGTGATTGTGGCGCACCAAGTTGCTTGTGGCGCTGGCGAAACAATGCGAAGCATCGACTGCATCAAAGATATTATAATCGACAGTCGAGGTGTGAAACGGTTGATAGAGCGAGCTTTTAAGTTGAGGATTACCGAACGATGCAAAGAGGCTCACTGATTTCCGCGCGACCTCGTAAAAATGCAGCTATCTGACCCGAGTATACGTATTTGGTTACGGACCTCGGTAACAAGAACAAGCGTACGAAGTCGGGATAAGAGAGAGGAGTGCCGGGGATAAAAAGAGAGATTGAAAGACGTCCCTCGGGCCGCGGAGAACGGAGGAGAAAAGGGTTGCTCTTTATGCAGCGTACGCGTTAAGATTTTAGCTGCGGGACTCGAGTTAGCTCCTGCGTCGGGGCTCAAATTTGCTTTGCAAATACCTCGAAAACAGTTGCTTAAAGCAAAGTCTTGTTCTCTCGCTGGCGTTTTTCGCCGTCTGGAATCTCGGCTCTTGGGCTCGCTCAATTATTCTCGGGCATTAATTTTCATGTGCTTCGCGTGCGTGTCGGCACGCTCCGGCTCGTCGTTAGGGCCAGCTATGGTGTCGCGAGACCTGCTGTCCTGTCGATCTGTCGATCGTGGAGAGCCGACAAACTACGGTAGATTACAAATCCAAGACTGAGTCCACGGCGCGTGTCGATTGACTCCCGAGGGCTTGCGAAGGTCGTGGCTGTAGGTCGTATATGCTGTTGTTTTGCCCAGCGAGGCTGCGATCGGCACGTTACCGACCGAGCCGCGGCCGAACGTCGGAATTGTCAGCGGCGAGTCGCGCTTACTATGGAAGAGCCGTTCTGACATCGGAATAAGGGCACGCCTCCGAGCAGTCGCGATCGGTCGACTCGTGGGATCCTACTTTCATCGGTCTTCGCCGTCGGATCGAGAATCGAGAAGAGAGATCGAGACGGGCCAGACGGGCCAGACGGGCCAGACGGGCCAGACGGGCCAGACGGCAGAGGTTGCATGGCATGGCAGCCGATAACTCTGTAATCAGTTTCTTAACGGCTCGACTTAGACCACGGCTCGCTGCGCTTTCCACTTGGTCGATCGGCCGAAACACTCGCTCGCGCTCACGACCTAATTTATGGGCCAATTTTCAACAGCGGCGGCGGCAGCAGCAGCTTACGAATGTCTTTTTATCTTGGCGTGCTTCGGTAAACAATCTTACAGGCGTCAAATTCTCTTTTCTTTTTTTTCTTTTAGACGTACCAGTCAATACGTTGAATAAGTGGGATTTCGGTAGTTCTTACTCGCATCAAGCAGCACCAACGTGGGCAACAAGCCAATTTATCGTAGACGCTCGTTCGTATCACCTTCAAATAAATCTTCACGTCAACGACCAAACTCGCTTCTTTCCTCTTCTACCTCGGAAATTAGTTTTGTTGTTGACAAAAAGAAATCTAGCAGTGTAAATTGAATGTTTTTCTAGCTGGTTGTACGGAATTAGCTTTGTACGTGAGTGTAGAACTCGAGTGGACCTTGCATATTCTCTCTTCTCATCTCTTCGTTCCTGCAATAACATTTTATGCCATGCCACTTTAGACTGTTACCATTCGAATACCCGGATAAAATGAGCCTGAATGCGTCGCATCAGCCAACAAAAGCAAGCCTTTCAAGTGCCAAACGTTATTTTCGTTTGATGCCTCTTTTTCCGAGTAAAATCTACAATTTTTTTTTATTTATTGTTTTAATTTCAATATGTGTTAGTTACATTAAAATTGAAAAAGTCAATACGATTTTTATCCGAAGGTAGTAGTTTGAAAAGCAAGAAATGCGAGTGGATGAGGAGTAAATCAGAGTCGCCGAGACAATTGACGCTGAGAACTTGGCTTGGGTGGTCCCGTCGCATGAGAAATGGTAAAGCGACGCTCGCGACGAAAGACGAAATTAGAAATAAAACCAGGTCTCCGAGAAATTCCAGAAAAAGACAGCCGCGGCTCGGCGAGCTCTGACGAAAAGAGATCGCCGAGTCTACATCGCCACCAGTGATGCGACTCAGCGTGAGGGTCGACGCGCAGTAAAAGCCAAAGCCGAGTGAGTAGAAAAGTACACGCGCGCGCACAGTGAGAGAGAGAACCGTCATCTGTCATAGACCCATTGGCTCGAGGTTCGCGCGCGCGGCAGTAAAATCGATAAGGATCGCAACGCGCGCACCGCGTACATACCTCTACACCTGCAGCAGGCGGCGAGGAACGTCGTAGGTCGAAGCTTGCAAGCGAAGCAAAGGGGGCGCCACCCGGAGTCGCGTCGCGCCAACATGGCCGCGGTCCACTGAAAGCAGTTCTGCGCACCTCGAGCTCCTCTGCCCGACACAAGTCCTAGCGCTTCGCGGATTTTCAGCAGATTGACTTCCATCGGGTAAGTGAACGATGATTATCGCTACTTTTGATTCGTTGGTGGGTTCGGCGAACGTCACGGCCGACCGCGAAGGGTCGTCGGGCGAGCGAGCGCCGAGCGCCGAGCGCCGAGCGCCGGTAAGTCGTCCGGGTTCGGCGATCGATAGCCCAGATAGACGCGAGTACGCGGTCGGGGATTTTTCTCTCCCCTTGGCGCGTGCCGCGCCTTTCAGCGATGCACGCCGCTGCCGAGCCCTCGTTTATCGCTCGCGAGCGACGTGCGTCTCGGATGTACTCAGACTGTACGCGTTTGGCGAACTCGCCTCCACTCCGGCAGCTTTGCCGCCAATCGCTAATCGCAACAATTCGCACGTTGCGTTTGCTCGCTTTGACTCTCGAGGAGCAGCACTTCGAGGGAGACGAGAGCAACTCGAGACAGGAGTGGAACAAGCGACCAATCCGCTACGCATATTTAGAACGCGCGCCCGAATAAGTGGTCGACTTTGCTAGAGCCGCGAGATCGATAAGCGAGGGTAAGTCGATGGAAATTTCGGCAAAGAGGAACGTTAAATGCTTGCAGCAAGTTGCGCGCAGCCCGCTGTTTATCCTTCCGCGCAATTTCTCAAGTTGCAAGAGCGCTGCGAGGCAGCGTTTACTCTCGAGGAGTTAGCGCTTCATAATAAACATTAACAAAGCCTGCCTCACGCGTCTCGCCCAAGCGAGGCATTTGCGATCGACGCTGCGCTTTGTTATTGGTTCGTCCTCAAGGCGCGCCTAATCCTGTTTTCTATCGTTTACTGGCATTTCTCAATTACGTCACAGTCACGCGTGCACGGACTTTTTTTCATTTACCACGTAAAAAGAAACGCGATAGAGCAGCGTGAACCAGTGACCATCCAGTATTCGAATCGTTAAGATAGCGTAACGCCAAACTGGCTAGACTAACTTATTTGTAGAAACAATTTTCAGTCCACCTTATTCATTTTTTCGAATAATTCTCCATTCGCAATTCGAGGAAATCGTATGTACGGCTTGTAAATAATATTTACGTGTCAAAGAAACGAGACATCGGACAAATAAGATTTGCCTAAATCGTGAAATTAGCTAATACATTTTTTTCTCGCTATTTGCGGAGAGGAATGAGAATCTGTCGTCGAAATTTCACTTGCGGATCTGTTAATGGATTAAATATAGATTTCCCCAAGTTGTCCCGCTTCGTTCATTCGTCTTCTTATAACGTTACGACGGGAAAAAATGCTAAAGCTCCCGCCGCATATATTATCCGCATCCTTTGAGTGTGCAAAAACTGCGGGCCAGTAAACATTATGTTAATTTAATAAGAAGAAGACATCGCCATGGGAATAAACGTCTTGGTAAACAAAGTACTGTTTATCAGACCCGAGTCGGAAAGATTAAACAACCGTTCGTCGGTGGCATATCATTAATGAGCTCCATATCTATATACGTATATGCGTATACGGTATACGAGTACACGCACCTTCGGTATTCTTCCATTCACGGAAACTTGCGCGTTCGCGACTGCGCACGTTCTCTCTCCCTCTCCATCTCGACTTTTCTTTTAAGACCCCCTTGATATAGATATCATATGTCTACATAGGTATACAAATACATATTGAAGAAAGACAACCTTTCCTCCATGATGATTCTTTGATGGAGCAAAATTCAGATTCGACGGATCCACGATAATGACCTTTTCATACGTAGTTTAGACTGAAGAACTTCTGGATGATTCGGTTGCAGCCGTTTGGTCGGGAAAAAATCAATAACAACGAGAACAGAGCGTTCACGTTCGTTTTATATTTGCATCGGTATGGTAGCTAGATTTATTATTCAATTTCTAGTTTTGGTTTCCGATAACACGGCTGTACCAAATCATTCCAAATTGCATTAGCGCAAGCTACACGTGAAAAAAGTATTTGTCGTAAATCTGTCCTATCTCAATTTTACTCCATTAAAGAAATTATACCGCAAAGGGTTGCCTGATTTCAACACGGGTTTGCACGTCTGAATACATGTCAGCCTCGCGTTTGAAAAATAATTTGAGCTGAGAGAGAGAGAGAGAAAACTTGAGCTCCCGCCTCTCTTTGCAAAACGTTAATATTCTTTATTTTGTTCGTCGCAAAAGCTCAAGGAAAAGGAAAAGCGGAAAGTTCCGGCGCGTTATTCCGAATGGCCAACTTTTCCGATCCGTCACTCTTGACTGCATGCGTTTATTCAGGGGCACAGCTGCAGCCGGCACTCCTTTGACATTGCATTACCTCCAATCGATGCTTCCTTACCGCGTTGTTCTCCCTCGTACTTGTTTCTCCATCTCTCTCGGCTGGTCGATTCGACCCTCGCGAACCAAGTCCAAATGCGAGCAATAAGCGAGTCGGGCGGGAGAGCCCGCGGATAGCGAACTGCCCGTGCCGGATAAGGGAATTGGAATGTGGTCGGTGATGCGCGCGAGCCGCGGATTTAATTAAATCGAAAGATGCCATTGTTGCGGACGGGATGATAATGCAGGTGAGTCGCCGCGGCGAGTACATGCCACCCCGAATGATCGGCGTAAACGAGCGTACGTACAACCAGATTGCAGGCCACGCCACGCGCGCGTCACCGTCGGATTATTCCAGTTTCATGGAAACACGCGCGACACATAAAAGTCTCGGCCTCGCTTGCTTATCGAGCACTCGCTCCTTATAGGCCACGTGCTCGAGAGAATAATTTAGAGCGGCTCTGCCCTCTTCGAACGGTCTCGTTCCAATTGGCTCTTTGCTATGATACGCTTTGTACTTTACGACTTCCCCAAAATCGACTGTCGCGCGCGCGCTTTTCAAACTATGCTCTAATCCCGTTCATGACATCGATCATGGCCGGCCTCAATGCCCCACTGCACCAGTATCAAAATCGGATTTTATTCGAAAACAAATCAGGAAAATCCTCTATACAATTCTATAGCTAACTGAAGTATATCTAGTAAACGAGGGCAATTTCTCGCTCAATCTTCCCTTCCATGGTTTGCCTAAACGAAGCACAGTTGGTACTTGAGAAAATTCATATTGATCGCTGTTTTAGTCTAGATTGCGACTAATCAATTTTGGCTTATTGGAGCTTTATATGTCTGGCGGTTGCGTAAAAACATATCAAGAAACCAAGGGTACCGTTCAGCTGCTACCATTGTTTATGTCTACGTCGAAAAGAAACTGTTAGCCCAAGTCATAACCAAACAAGTCTTACTCGATATTTCATTAATTGTGCTTTTCTATCTTTCTCTATCTTTTATGACGCACTGCTTGTCAGACCTCCGTTACTTCTTGTATCAACAGTTGATTTTATATCCAGTCTTCATCTACAATAAATAATTCATCACCAAAGCTTGCTAAGCAAATTTTTCAAAGTGTTATGACTTGCGCTAATATTTTGCTTTCAACGTATGCGATATGTATAACATCGGTGATAGCTCCAAATTATTCTTCATTTTTTTACTTTTGATAAAACCGCTAGAGAGAACGCTGCGAAATTCATTAGTCGTAATCTAGTTATAGTCTTTATCATTATTTAATTCTTCAACTACCAACTACGGTTTGTTTAGGCAAAGCATTGGCGAGAGAACATGACAAATTGTCCTCGTTTAGTGTATATATTTCAGTCAGCTATAGAATTACTTGGGGGGGGGGGGGGTGTCTTAAGTTGCACGTGTGTTTCAACTGCAGTACAAGGTTAGCTATCGCACTGGATCACAGTGACCTAAGCCTTTCAAGCGGAATAATATACGAAAAGTATATCTACGAGGTCGAGCGACGTCGATTTTTGTGGGATCTCGATAGGCGCCGCGTGGGCGTTCAGTTTGTTTGTCGTCGTTGCTTGGTAAACAACGTCGTTTAGTTATCCAATGATCAGACAATTATCCGAATGACCGATTCGCAGTTCGCCACAGCATTTGACTTGGGGTCGGGGGGAAGTTGGTAGGTCGGCTACCATAATATCCCTGTCACATCTGACTGAGGTCGGAACGTAGCTTTGTCCAACCGCAAGACATTCCTCTATCTCTGCCCCGATAGCCAGGCAAACTTCGCCATAATCTAATAATCGTGCATGGATATCACAATAGCAGCGGCAAGGCAGACGGACAGCGACAGGCGGACAGGCAGGTGGGCGGATAGGAGTTGGAGGGGGGGGGGGGGGGGGGTCGAAGCGTCCACGGGCAGAGGCGTGAAAGCTTTTGGCTGCAGAGAGATGTATATCGCAATCCGTTTTGTTTGGCGATTGGATTTCTGGGTCTCGACCCAAATAAAACCCGATGACACGGCGCGCGAGAGCTCAACGCTCTCTCTCTCTCTCTCTCCCGTTCTCGCAAAAGCTCGCTCATTCGCCGGCGCGCCGCTGGACGGGGCTTTCAGCTGCGCACAATATCGAGTTGCCGCCGACTCGCGCTCTGTTATTTCGTACGTCGCTTGATGTTTCCCTTTCGCCGCTTGTTCATGCCGAGTTTCTCCCCCCTCCCCCTCGCTTCCCCCTGCCACACGGTTTGTTTCGCCACCCTACCGATAACTTCGTTCTCTCGATTGTTATTGCCGATGCGTCACGTCGCTCGCGCACGCAGTTCCCGTTGACGAATGCACAATCGTCCGGTTGGCTTAACGGATCTTTGGCTAGCTCGGCGCTTCCTAAAAACACTTCCGTTCCGCGTTCGCTATTCGAAAAAACAAGCAGCCCGTTCGCAAAATAACGGGCGCCCAGTGCTCTGAATTTTCGCTATACACGAATCCGTTGAGATTTTCCGGATATTTGGCCCATAAAGCCGTGTATACTGCCTCTCATTTATGTCGCGCTTTATTTATTCCATGATATATCATCAGCCGAACGAAGGATTAAAACGTAAACCGGATCATCGAGCGATTTCCTGAAAACCTATAATAAAGCATGAAATTCCGACGTACGGATAAAGCAAACAGCGCGTGCACTCGAAACGTCGGATTCTCTCACGCCCATTCGCAATTCCCTTGGGCATTAATTTTC